TAATGTAGCTGTTAGCTTCTTTCAAGTCAACACCATTTTTATGAAATCTGGCTGTAGGCGTACTAGCACTTTGCGCCATCTTCTTCTTCGACGGTTTAATTTTCTTTAGGCTGTATAGCCCCAGTTAAGTTCGTATAGTGAAAAACAAAAGAACTAGTTTCTAATAAAAGCTGAAATTTATTTATCCGCCTCGGAGAAAGCGAAGCAAATCTATTTCTTCCTTTTCCACTAGACCATCCACTACCAGTGTACATGAGGAGAACTGGGCCACCTTGCTTTGTTGTCAAGTGATTCATTATGCTGCAGATAAGTGAATTACATGAATCAAAGAATGCGATTGAAGTACTGTCTGGCAAATCACTGATGCCACGCAACGTGTGTTTTCGCTCGATTTTTCTGTATTTAGTTTCATTCAACATGGCTTGCGTCGCGATTCTTTTCCTGGCCATCGATAGGTTCATTGCCGTTTGGTCACCGCTGAGGTATGTGAGCTGAAACCTTGTCAAAATTTTTTTTCTTTCAGTAGAAGTACAGCGAGTTTTCTTTGTATGCTAGAAAGGAGAAGGAAGCGGAATGAGGAGGAAAGAGGTTTAATGTCCTGAGTTTTTGCGAAACCACATGTTTTTTGCTCTTTGGAAAGCTGTGGTTTCGCACTGTCGTTGTGCAGGATCCCGTCTGATTCGGCAGCACTGGGATGGCGATTGGCATTTTGCAATGCGTCTGATACGATAAAACTGACGATGAAAAAAAAAAAGCGGCGAAGTTCAGTTACGGTAGCTTGCTTTTGGAACGACTTGCGGAGCATGGATAGATAAGGTGAATGGATTCCACATCAAGTGTGATGAATTCCACAATATTTGCAGGCAAGGAAGCGCTGGAAACTTTTCAGCAGTTTAGCCCTTCCGGGATCTACTTTTGTTTCTTTCCTGTTATTCCCCGCTCTCAGGCTGGATAACGGACGGAGAATAACAGGAAAGAAAATTATTTCGGTAGTACTGTAGCAAGAAGAATAAGTTGCTTTTTTACATTTTTTATGTTAAGCGCTTTCAAGTGTGAATGGAGTCCTAGAAGCTCGACATTTCGAGATTTTTTTGACTTTGCTGGTTTCTTTTTATGCGTTTTTGCTGTGCAACGACTTGCGGAGCATGGATAGATAAGGTGGATGGATTCCACATCAAGTGTGATGAATTCCACAATATTTGCAGGCAAGGAAGAGCTGGAAACTTTTCAGCAGTTTAGCCCTTCCGGGATCTACTTTTGTTTCTTTCCTGTTATTCCCCACTCTCAGGCTGGATGACGGACGGAGAATAACAGGAAAGAAAATTATTTCGGTAGTACTGTAGCAAGAAGAATAAGTTGCTTTTTTACATTTTTTATGTTAAGCGCTTTCAAGTGTGAATGGAGTCCTAGAAACTCGACATTTCGAGATTTTTTTGACTTTGCTGGTTCCTTTTTATGA